GCCCTCAGACAGCGAAGGTCAACAAGAGAGCATGGAGCCCATCTCTCTTGTTAGTTTTCAATTATCTTACACAGGATTAAATTTCATTGCGGCACATTTTTTTCTTCCCTCCACCTTCTCCCCCATCCACCCTCCCCTCCTGGTGTGCCCCCCCAAGTTGCCTCTTTCCTAGTTTAAAGTCACATGACCACTACCCCTTTTCAAGCCCAGCCTCACGTGGGCTCAGACTCAGTGATGCCAGGTTGGCTTTTCAACAAGTTTAAAACGGAAAACTTGAAGGTAACTAATGTAGCTCAGAGTGCTTGCCTTGAGGCTCTGGGTCGGATCCCCAGCATCGTGAAAAGAAGGAAGGGAGAAAGGGAGGAAAGAAGGGAGAGAAGCTGGTTGGGGAGGAGAGGAGAAGACAGCAACAAGTGGGGAGGGGCAGGTTGAGATTTCATATTGAGTCTCCAGATTTTAAATAAGGGCAATGGTGACAGAGAGTTACTGATCCCCTTCGGGGCTCAGCAGTCACATAGCCAGGGCTGCTGAGCCAGGGCCTATGGGGAAATGGCCCCCAGGGAGTGAGCTGGGAACAGGAGAGAGCCACACTGTTTGAACAACGCTATAGGATATAGCCTCCACTGGGACCTTCCCAGACACTTGTAGTTAGAATCTCTGAAAACCTGGCCCCGAGAGTGAAGGGGACAATTATCTGGCTGCTTCTTCCTTTGTTAGCACAATGTGTCCTGCATCTGCACGTGACACATCTGTGAGAGTCCTGCTGGCACAGCAATCCAGAGGATGTAGAGGGTGTCCTCAGCACAGGCCTGCCTCCACCTTGCTAAAGCAGTGACTGGAACTAGAACTGAAGGGACCAGAGTGACACCCAGGTATCCACAGGGTTGACTCTCTCTGGAAGAAGTCAGGCATCCCCCGCCCCCACCTTATAGACTTCAAGGTGCAGACCTTGTAGACCCCATGATGGCTTTGACCAATGAAATGTGAGCAGAAGGACCCTAGTTCACATCCAGGCAGAAGCATCAACAGCCAGTGCTCAAGTCACCTTTTTCTCTCGCGGGAATCCAGAGAGTGACTTCGTGTGGATTGGAGCCATAGCCAAGGACATGCAGAGAGAAGATGGCCGCCATTAAGATCTGAGGGCTGTCTATTGTTGCCACCAGCTGCAGCCCAGGCTGGCAACAACCAACTCTACCGAAAAATTCCAAAACCATAGAAAATGACCACAGCCGGTGGGAGTGAGCCTGGGGCCATCACCACCCGACCTCCATGGTAAATCAGCGGAAGTCCAACTTAACAAATGAACTGGCTTTTGAAGTTCACATGCAAGCTGCAGGCTTGGGGGAGGGACTCTCTCCTTGATAATACAATCACATAGCCTTCATGCCAACCATCAGTAGACCAGAATACCTAGGGAGCTGGGCCCAAGGACCAAGTCCCTCTAACTGAGAGCGACATGGCAGGAAGAGATGAGTTTGTGGAGCAGAAAGTGTAGGTCTACCTGCCTTCTTCCTCAGGGGCCGAAGGGCGTGCTGGAGTAAAGATTCAGAAAGGAGGCCTTTTGCTAAAGGGCCAGGTCTCCTAGATTCACTTCGCTCCTCCGATTGGCCATTCATTCATACGCTTTCATGTTCACCGCAGTGTGAGCCTATTCGCCTCTGAGGTCAGCAGTGGCTCCCAATTAGCTCTCCAGGTTTAGTGAGGTCACATGCCAACTGAGGAGAGACAAGGCAAGCGCTTGGAGCTCCATCTCCACCCTGGGCACATGGCACATGCCCTGCCTTTTGTTTGGAAGAACACTAGACAGCAAGTATAAAACGTGAGCCGCAAATGCAATTTTAAATTCTCTAGTAGCTACATTTGGGCTTAATGAATATTTAATTTACTTTTTGTGTGTTTTGTTTTGGTTTTGGTTTTGGAGACAAGATTTCACACTCTAGCCTCTGTTGGCTGGGAACTCAGTTTATATAGATCAGGCTGGGCTCCAACCCAGTGGTCCTCCTGCCTCTGTCATATAAGTAGAGTGATTATATGCAAGCATGATTATACCCAGGCTAGCAACTGTATTTTACAAGGTAAGAAGAGGTAAAATTGTGTGTGTGTGTGTGTGTGTGTGTGTGTGTGTGTGTGTGTGTGTGTGTTGGCTTATGGTATAAAGTGTATTCAGTATTAAGAATGGAGTCCACAGTCTATGCATGCTAGACATTTGCTCTACCACGAATCTGCTTTACCAGGCCAATTAATTTTAATAACACACTTTATTTAATCTAATAAATGCAAACCAGCACCACTTGGACATGTGGTCAGCCTTTTGGAGTCTAGCTCCCAGCCTTCCTTTCAGCACTTGTCTTTGAAGCTAGCTATATATTTTACATTCAGCTCATCTCTCAGTTTGGGGGACTGCATCTCAGGTGGCCAATACCACCTGTAGCTAGTGATCCATCTATCATAGAAAGCAATACTAAAATGCACTTCCCCCAGAGGTTTTTTTTTATTTTAAACTGCTCTATCTCAGCTAAAATGTCACCAAACCCATCCTCTGCCTGTGCCCCTAGAGTCAATGTCTTCTAGCCTCTACCACATCACCCCATCTACTGGGTTTCAGGGCTTGTCACTCAGGGTCCCACGCTGGAGGGCTGAAATGACAAGAAGTGGTTCTCTTATGGCTTCAGAGCAAGACAGTCCCACTCTCTGAGGCTCTGAGAAGAAATCCTTCCCTGCCTCTTGCTGCTGTTGGCCTCCCTCAGCTGGTGGCTGTGTGCATTGGTCTCCATCTCCTTTGGGTCCCGAGCTATGTCTTCCATCTCATTATAAAGGTACTCACCGTATTGAGAAGATCCTTCCCTCTTCAAACATGAGACAAAATGACAGCCGCCGTGTACCATAGAGGATCCCGTCAGCTGTCGTCATGCTTCCAAACAAGCTTCCCTTCCGGTGTTCAGGAGGCTCTGGGTTGGGTAGGGCTCTACCCACGCCATCCCTGACCCTCACCTTCTCTCACCTGCATCCTCATTTGGTTGTCCCCACTGAAACATAAGAGCGTCGAGCCAGACTCTGTACCCTCAAACACCCCATGCCCAGCACTTGGCACAGAGAAGGCTTCCTGCAGCTGCTTGATGCAGAGAAAGAAGGAAAAGGAAGACAAAGCAGGAGAGAGAGGGAGAGAATGACAGAGAAGAAACAGACTCTCCTGGAAGAAACAGAACTCATCTCCAAGATGGTTCATGAGAACCAAGACAGGCCTAAGCTAAGGGGGGCACTGGAAGGGCCTGGCTCCATCATTCCTACTGGGCAGTAGCCTATCTAGATTCTTCTAGAAGCTCAAGGATCAGCCCTGCTACAACTCTGGGACCACAGTGCAAAAGGACACAACTATCCATCCTTTGGATTTCTAGAAAGCAGCCCTCAACCAATGGGAGCCCCACCTTACCCCACCCTGGGTGAGCCCCCGGAAAGCAGAGACGGCCAGGGAGGAAAGTCAGGAAGAGGTTCTCAGCCGTGCAGCAGCTCTTCTCCATCCCTATGTCTTCGTTTCATGAGTAGGACTGTCTACCAGAGGATCTGATCCGTTTTCATGGACATCACGAGTGGCTACCAACCCTACTACCTTGAGGTCCCTGAGAGAAGCCGATGAGCTTGGGACTGAACCACAGCGGGCTCTAGAAGATTGCACTCAGATAGGAGTGTGCTAGGGGCTGAGTGTGTGGCTTTATGGCAGGAGGCTTGCCTAACTGGGAATGAAGGGGAGGGGCAGGAAGAGGAGAGGAAGGGGAAGAGAAAAGGAAAAGAGAAGGAAAGGGGAGAAAGGAAGGGGGAAGAGAGAAGTTGAGGGGGGAGGGAAGTGAAGGAAGATGGATGACAGGTCTGAAGGACAGGTCTTGCATATTTTAGCCTTCCAGTTTGTCAAACAAACCTTGGATCTAAACATTTGAGTGGTCTTATCTTAAAATACCATTTAGACAATTGGATCAATGGAGAAGTCACTACTAAGATGAACCACAAAAGTAGAGGAACTAGACCATCCCCATGTGTCAGGAGGAGTCTGGAAGCTCCAGCAGTGTGGGTGGGAACGGAGAATGGTAAATGTTGTAAACTTCTAAAAAGTCTGGTTGTTCAGCTACCCATCATTAGACCTAAAACTGAAGACCTCTCCTTCCCTCCCAAAGTGGGACCCCAGCAGGGGCAGCACAGCCTGGACACCCACTCAGTGTTTGCTCCAGCCCAGGCCAAGGACACTCAGTGTTCGCTCCAGCCCAGGCCAAGGACTTGGTAAAGAGTGAAGAGTGTGAGGGATAGGCATCTGGGCTCCTGTTGGCTCTTCCCTTCAACCCATCCAGGGAGTGGTCTTCCCAGATCCCTGCCCCAAGTCTCAAAGGCTCCAACACTCTGGTCCCAGAGGAAACAGTTAAAAACATCAGTTTATGCTTTTCCAAGTTCCCAAACGCTGTTTTCCAATTTTTCAAGGACTGATTCACCCTCCCAACTTTTTGTGCAGATTAGAGGAATAGTTTCCCTGTTTCGCCTAAACCAGGACACACAACTTGGTGAACACAGAGGGGTGACTTCAGCACCCCTCTTACCCTCTTGGAAGTCTGCTTCTCAGTAAACATCCTACACAATCACGTGTGGCCTCTCAACAGTCTGCCCACTGAAGGATGGTGAGAATTAAAGGCAGTGTTGCCTGGAAACGTTCAATGAGATGATTTGGTAATAATAACTCAGCACGGTAAGCGTTGCCTTAACGTGTTCGAATCTGTTTTAACAGCACCAGCAAACCCTACGACAGGACAGCCCTAGAGACCCTTGATGTCATTGTAGCTCATAGGAGACCGAGAAAGAAGCATTCCCTTTTCATGCTCTCATTTCTTAGAGTCACTACTCACACTCCCAGCGTTTGCTAATACCACAGGGTGTACTTGAACCCCAGGCAGGAAAGGGCAAGGCTCCGGAGCATGCTTTGCTGTTAGCTGTGTTTCTTTTCTGCCAACAGCTACTTTCCAGTCTGCAGAAGTGGTGGATGGACCAAATACGTTTCCAAAACGATGCATTTGAGTTTTGTAAAGGACTCAATTTAAGGAAAAATCTTCAGTCCCTCACAGTAGAAGTGCTGGCAGGATGCTTGAAGGTTGAGAAACCTGACCCTACACAATGGCTGCCTTTCCACAATGCATTTCGGCTGCGGAGCCCCCGCTAGGGACTTCCCTAGTAGGAAGTAGGGGACGAGGAGGCAGGAAAATGTCCTGCGGTGGGCTGTGGGGTTTGACTGCTAGATGTGGGCTCTGGGGCCGTGAGCTCCCAGCGAGCATAAATCTCTTCCCTTCCAGCCCCAAGTAGAGGCTGACCTGTCTCTGCAGACCTTCACCCTTCTGAGGGCCCTGGCCCCCTTCACCCGAGCTTGGCTGCCTCTGTTGGATTACTGGGAGTCAGCCTGGTCGCCGCTGAGCCCATGTCTAGGAAAGAAGTGGGTCTCTGACAGCCACCTGGGTCGACCTGACAGGGTCAAACGATGCCCACGCGCCCCCAGAATGAAGGAGACGCGTGTGGCGCAGGGCACACGGTCAGCTATGTTTCATTCTAAAAGGTCACTCGAGTCGCAAGCAACGTGTAGCCGTTAGAGAACACAGCCAGGCTCTCCTTCACAGGACTCTGATCGCCAGGAAAGGTTCCGAGGCCGCTGGACCTGGGGCGCGCCAGACAGTCGTGGGGCGGGAGAGACTGCTTTCCCTTTACCAGGCTTTAACCTGGGCAGCGGCGCCTTTGTGGAAGCCAGAGCAGGCGGAGGGCGGGCAGGCGCTCCGAGAGGTCACTTCTTCGTCCCCCAGTGGATAACTAGGGCCACAAGGCCCGGTGCCCACTATCGGGCTCTCTTGGGTCCACACCAACCTTGCCCACTCTCCGCACAGCAGAAGGAAACGCATCATTTCCATGCAACAATGCAAACGCGCTCATTACCATATTCTCAATATGCATGAAGAAAATGTGCGACGTTGGCCGAGCCCCATCGCCCTGCTCTGGCCTCGGCATCCAATAAGGCGACATATTCATCTCCCAAGATGGATGAGAAGGGGATGCCGGGGAAGCAGATCCACGGGCGGGGGAGGGGACAGACTCTGTAGAGGAAAGGAAGCGAGAATAAACCAGGAGATGAGAGCCTGGGACAGACCAAGATTCAAATAGGACGGATCGGGACGAAAGAGAGGGAGGGAAAAAAAAAGAAGAAGAAGAAGAGGAAACCGAGAAAGGGAGAGGGAGGAAAGATGGAAAACGGGGGTTGAAAAAAAATGAAATAACAAAAAGAAATACCCAGGAAAAAAAAGGAACCAAAAAGAACACATAGGGAGTCAAAAAAAGAGGAAAAACAATCCCGGAAATCAAACACACAGAAAATGCGAGGAATAGACAGGCCGGAAAAAAACAAGGAGGTCAGCGGAAATGCTTTGCGCAGGTGGAAAAGGGATGATCCTGAAGAGGAAAAAAGAAATAAAACTACTGTCGCTCAGGGCCACGGTTTTCCATCCATGCTGGGATTCCAGGAGCCGCCGCGCAGATCTGGCCACTCGCAGGCCGGTGGCAAAGGGCCTGGTCCGGGAGGATCAGGAGCGCAGGGGGCCGGCTGGAGAACCTCGCGCCCATCCTGGGGAGGCCGGGCCGCTCCGCGGTGCACAAATCCGGCCTGGGGTCCACACCGCCGCTGCTGAAGTCTTTCCGACCCGCGGCCTCTCTGGCGCGGGGAGAGAAGTTTGCAAAGTTTACCCCAAAGTTTCCCGTAGCGTCTCTGGACCCTGGGACAGCCTCCGAAGCCCTGACAGCTTACAGGGCTCAGCCAGAGTTGCACGGCAGACGTGGCGGCGCCCGGCCCGCGCCTCCTGGGATGCTCCGAGGCCAGATTCACAGTCAAATGTGAATTCCTCCCGGTGCTACGCCAGGCCACGCATCTGCAAGTCCGTGTGGCTGCTAATAGCAGAGAGAGAGAGAACGCGAAACCAAGAGAGGGGGAGAGAGAGAAAAGGAAAAAAAATATTCTCAGCTCAATTTAAGTCTCATGGAAAGGGCTTACAACTGTAATTAAATCATTAAATTCTTGTCTACGCTTCACAGAGCGGAGAGAAATTAACTTCCCACCAACCTCATTTTCTATTTGAACATGAAATAATGATTTTCTGCCCGTCTAATTACAAAGCCAACATCTGATCAAGCCAGCATCCAGAGGGGATTATCGCATGCGCGAGTATTAGACCTCATTACCAGCTTGAGTGCAAAATTATTACATCTTGTAATTGGATGGTGAGATTTATATACAGATCGGCCCGGTTTCTGTAAGATTGTAATTACAAGCTTCGTTGGTTAGCTACTTATCAGAACTTTGCAGGAAAACAAAACAAATGACTGAGGAAAACGAGCATTTCATTAACCTGTAACCCCAGCGCGGGGGGTGGGGGGTGAGCAGTGGGAGCGCACGCCACAGCGTCTGCAGGAAGCTGAAGGATGGCCAGCCCGCACCGCCTCTGGGGGGACTCTGGGCCTTGGGAGGAAACACTGGCCCGGCTGGGAGACCCAGGGCTGCAGTGTCTCCCCGAGATGGGGACGCAGGCAGGCTCTTTGGGGAGCTGAAACCAAGAGAGGGAAGAGATGGGGGCTGGTGGCTCCGAGAGTGCGTGGATTGCGCAGCTCAGACCCCGAACCTGGTGGATCTCTGGCCCTGGGTACACGTCGGGCACCTCTCTCAGTTGTCCTTCAGCGTGTATACTCCTGGCGCCCTGGGCCCAGACTAGAGAGCATCCGAGGCGAGGGCCGGCCGGCTCTTTGTGCGCTGGGACCCTTGGAAGAAGGAGGGGTGCTGGAGACGCTTCGGCCAGTGGCACGTTGTTGCATTCGGGTCTTTTTCCAATCAACTCCCCCGTGCACCTGCTTCTCTTCGCTCGCTGTGCGAGTGTGTCAATCTGATCTAATCTCCTGGATTAAAAATCCCTTGAAAAGATTCAGCTACCCGCGGATTCACGTTCTTAGTCTGGGAGCTAGGTTCCACTGGCCTGGTCCTGCTGAGGAACCAGAGCCACGTCGCGACTCCAGCTGCTTGGGACACTGAATCCCGACGTGGAGTGCAGATTTCAGGGCCTGGCCAACGCTCTTCCCAGTTGGTCACGGGGTAACGGGAAGCTGTTTCTGCCCCCCGGCCTGGGATGCCTGGAGGGATCTAATTAAGCGAGGTTCTTAGGTTCATTTCTGGGTCTAGAGGTTCACCCTCTGGGCCAGGGGCGGCCCCCGGCCGGCGTGAGTCCTTCCTGAGAACAGCCTGGCTCTTCCGGTGTTCTCCCTCTCAGTCCGCAGTCCCACACAACTAGGTCGATAGCTGGTTAATGCAATGTGGAAGGAGCATCTCAAAGGCTCCTGTATGTGTGTGAGAGCGAGTGTGTGTGTGTGAGAGAGAGAGTGTGTGTGTGTTGTTGTTGTTGTTACGTGGTTCTGTGTTCTGTTTTTCTTTTTCTTCTGAAAAAAAAAAAAAACCAGAAATAAATATCCGTGTTTTCACCCAGACCCGTACAACCAAGCCCCTTCGCCCCTTGGAATCCGGCTCTGTCGCCCACTGGTCTGATCCACCACTGTGCAGGCAGGTCTTCACAGCTGCCTAACAAGACTCATGGTTCTGTGCCTAGGAAAGATCTTGGGAAATAATGTCACCTCGATTCTGTAACCAAAAGACCCTTCCTGAGCAGGTGAGCCCTGGCTTCCCGTGACAGGTTTAACCAGAAACGGAATCAGGCTGGGGAAAAGCATTTAAAGGCCAGGGCTGGCCTTGCTGTGTCTCCTCTTTCCAGGCTTACCTAAAGCCAACCTCCAGGATCAGGTAAGGAGGGCCAGGAAGGGATAGAGAAGCTGTACAGATCCAATTTAGGGGGATATTCCAGATGCTGCTATCGAAGTCTAAACCTTAGTTAGTCCCCCCAACTTCTGTTTGTGCTTCCCCACTGATCTGAGTTGGCACCTCCTGGAACTTAAGGTCAGTACAAAGGCCCACGGAATGTAGCAGAAGGTGGCACATGGACTCCAGTTTTGACTGGACCGGGGCGAAAGAAATCTTCATTTCCTAACTTAACTACTTATACCAGAACCGACCAGCCCGGGACCCTCGGATCCCTCCACGCTGGCAGAATTCAAACTTGATTCCTTAGATCAACTGGAAGCTCGCGAGTAGCGTGTCTGCCTCTAAGCTGGGACTCATCCTTCTACTGAGGAATCGCAGCCCGGGAGTTGTGTGGGCCGCAGGCCGGCAGCAGGCCTGGCCCGCGCGTGGGTCGCCGCCACAGTCTAAATCGCTTATCTACGAGCCACAGCTATTCCGAGAATTTCAGTGTGGCTTTCCACTGCACACCATAATCCGTGAAGGTGGGCAACTGGACACTACCATTTCAAGTTAGATTTAGGTATCTTACCATAAAACATTTAGATACCCTACCATAAAACCAAAGTCTTGCTCCCCACCCCCACATGCGCACGTTCCCCGGCTCTGGGGGATTTTATCACCAAAAGAAAACACTGGCATTGGGCCCAGTGAACAGGAGAAGGGGCAGTGAAATGAATGGTCGCAATCGTCTAAAAACACAACACAGAAACTTCTCGAAGTGCTCTCGGAAAGTTCCCAAAGCCTCCGCTGTGAGGCTCTCAGCTCCTCCCCCACCCCATAGCCAGGAGCTCCAACTCTTAGCGTGTTCTGCAAGACCACCTGGGCGCCAAACTCGCTTTCTAATGAGAATTCTCTCCGAGGTACCCCAGAGGTGTTAACGTGGTAAACAGCAGGGTTTCCCCGGCACAGATTCGGTATTTTAAAAGCTAGTAGGGGCAGCACTCCTTACTCCCAGGCTGCACGCTCAACTGTTTTAGCTGCCGGCTTAGGCTATTGAGATCGTCCTAGGGACCGGAGCTGATTGCAAAGGGAACCACCACCGTACAGAAAAGCCCGGGGCCTGTCTAGGTCCGGGGTCCCGTCCCAACCCGGAACTACAGCTGCGGAGGGGGCTGAGAATTTTGAAGAGTTGGAAGACCCGAGGGTCGAGGTGACCCTGTACTAACCCGCCACTCCTGGTCTGGGCTCTCCCTTCCCCATGCTAGCAGGAGGGGGGCGGGAAAGGACAGCGTCCCGTTCCGCCCCGCCCCGCCCGGCGCTCTGTATTCGCGAGGGAAGGCCGCCTCTCCCAGAAGGCTCCCGGGTGATTGGAGACTCCAGGAGGAGACGCGAGGAAAAGTCGAATAAGAGGGCGCAACGTCAGACTCGAGATTTGGGGAAGGGTGAGGGAGGGGGTGGAAGGGCGGGGACGGACACACAGACACTGACGCGGACACACACCCCCAGCACAGCATTCTAAGTGTCTACAACTTTAGATCGCCTTAGCCCAGGACACAGAGACCGGGGAGAGGAAAGAGAGAATGAGAGAGTAAAGAGATTTAAAAAGAGAGGAGTCAGACTAGGAAAAGTGAAGAGAGCTGAGAGGTGAGCAAAACCAACCGTGAGAAAGGGAAAGAGGAAAAAGAACCGCAGTTTCCCAGCGTCCAGGACTGCGAAGGAGCCTCGGGAGCGGAAGCGATCAGGGGGTGGGGTGGGGGACGCAGCGAGGGGAGGGGAGAGGAAAGGACAGGAGGGGAGTGTAAACTATAGGAGGGCGAAGGAAGCGAGGCGCGACACAGCTCCGGGAGAGGAGGACAGAACTGAGCGCTAAGCGCAGAGCGGCTCTCCGGCCTAGAGGAGGGAGTGCGGCGCAGAGAGGAGGGGCTTGCGGCCCCGTAGAAATGTCAATCAGAGCCCGGAGCCCGGGGAATCTCGGCCAATCTGTTCGGACCTGACCTGACTCCTCGCCGCCGCCGCCGCCGCCGCCGCCGCCGCGGAGCCGATCAATAGGCGAACGCGGAGCACAGCGCAGCGCGGGAGGCAACGCGGCCCGGGCTCGGCCCAGCCCCCGATGCGCTCCGGAGCCAGCGTGCGGCGCTGAGCACCGCGGCCCCGGGGGCCGGGCCCCCTCTTCGTAGGTGCCCCGCGGGCCACCATGTCCTTCCCTCAGCTCGGATACCAGTACATCCGCCCGCTCTACCCACCCGAGCGCCCGGGAGCCGCAGGCGGCGGCAGCGGAGGCGGCAGCGCAGGGGGCCGGAGTGGTCCGGGCGTTGGAGCCTCAGAGCTGGCCGCCTCGGGGTCCCTATCCAATGTGCTTTCGTCCGTGTACGGGGCACCCTACGCCGCGGCCGCAGCGGCAGCTGCCGCCGCCCAGGGTTACGGCGCCTTCCTGCCCTACGCTACGGAGCTGCCCATCTTCCCACAGCTGGTAAGAGCCCGAGAAACCCGGGAAAGAAGGGGTTGGAGCTGGGGTGCAGGGCGAAGTGAGCGTGGAGAAGAAAGCCAGGGTCCCGGCGGGAGGGTGGAAGCGGCGACTGCTAGAGCTCACTCGCGCTCCTCCGCGCGTGTCCCCTTCCTTTTCCATGTGCGTACAGGGCGCTCAGTATGAGCTGAAGGACAGCCCTGGGGTCCAGCATCCGGCCACGGCCGCCGCGTTCCCGCACCCACACCCTGCCTTCTACCCCTACGGCCAATACCAGTTCGGGGACCCGTCCCGTCCCAAGAACGCCACCCGGGAGAGCACGAGCACACTCAAGGCCTGGCTCAACGAGCACCGCAAGAACCCGTACCCCACCAAGGGCGAGAAGATCATGCTGGCCATCATCACCAAGATGACCCTCACCCAGGTGTCCACCTGGTTCGCCAACGCCCGCCGGCGCCTCAAGAAGGAGAACAAGATGACGTGGGCACCCCGTAGTCGCACCGACGAGGAGGGCAATGCTTATGGGAGCGAGCGGGAGGAGGAGGACGAAGAGGAAGATGAAGAAGAGGGCAAACGCGAGCTGGAGATGGAGGAGGAGGAGCTCGCAGGGGAGGAGGAGGACACGGGGGGCGAGGGCCTGGCCGACGACGAGGAGGATGAAGAGATCGATTTGGAAAACTTAGACAGCGCCGCAGCCGGGCCGGAACTGGCCCTGGCTGGGGCAACGCACAGGAACGGCGACTTCGGCGGCCTAGGACCCATTTCGGACTGCAAAAATAGCGACTCGGACGACAGCTCCGAAGGCTTGGAGGAGCGACCGCTGTCGGTCCTGAGCCTGGCCCCGGCGCCACCGCCTGTGGCCAGGGCTCCTCCATCTCCTCCCTCTCCACCCTCGGGCCTGGACCCCTGCGCTCCCGCACCAGCGCCCTCCTCCGCCCTGCAGAAGCCCAAGATCTGGTCACTGGCCGAAACGGCCACTAGCCCGGACAACCCACGTCGCTCGCCTCCTGGAGCCGGAGGTTCTCCTCCTGGGGCAGCGGTCGCGCCCCCGACGCTGCAGCTCTCGCCCGCGGCTGCCGCTGCAGCAGCCGCCGCACACAGACTCGTCTCGGCGCCGCTTGGCAAATTCCCGGCTTGGACCAACCGGCCTTTCCCAGGCCCGCCGCCTGGCCCGCGGCCGCACCCGCTGTCCATGTTGGGCTCGGCCCCACAGCACCTGCTGGGACTTCCCGGAGCCACGGGACACCCGGCTGCCGCTGCGGCTGCCGCTGCCGCCGCCGCCGCCTATGCTCGGCCTACGGAGCCGGAGAGTGGAACAGGTGACTACAGGAGTGTGGGGCACAGTGGGAGGGTGTTGGTGGGGCTCTCGCCTTGGCTAGAGGGAAAGAACGGGGACTTGGGGTACAAAAGGTGTTTTTCTCTTCGGCCTCTGGAGGCCTGGACCCCGAGTTCTGAAGGCCTCTTTTTTTTCCCTTCCCCTTGTTTCCTACAGATCGCTGTAGTGCCTTGGAAATGGAGAAAAAGTTGCTCAAGACAGCTTTCCAGCCCGTGCCAAGGCGGTAAGAGACCCCGAATTTGGGACGCAGAGTGGGAGACCCTTCAGGAGGGATGAGGAATACGCAGAGCCAATGGCAGAAACCGTTTGCTCCCGGCACCCCATCCCGGGAAGGGAGAAACGTGGCTGGGAAACTATTTCTAAAAGGCACCAAAGCCCACTCCTCCGTCACTTGTGGACCCAGAGCCGCTTTTCCATTCTCAGCTCGGGCACCTCAGGCAGGGTCTGTGGGTACAGAGTGGGGAAATCTGGCCACTCCAACAGGCCTCTGGAGCACAAGGCCTCTTCTTCGCGATGCCCGCCTCCTTCCAGCCCCGACCTCGAATCCTGATCTCTTCTGTCCAGCTTATAGTTAATACACCCAGGGCTAAACAGCTCCATATGCCTGACCCTAGGCTCAGTAGGATGTCCCCTACCTAAGCAGCCCCCATGTCTCTAAATCCCGCTTCCTTTGCTTCCGCTCTCTCTTCCAGGCCCCAGAACCACTTGGATGCTGCTCTGGTCCTATCAGCTCTCTCCTCATCTTAATTCTTTCAACAATTTTTAAATCGTTGTACTAATTGTAAAAAAAAAAAAAAGACAAATCGCTCTGTATAGTTATGACTTGCAAGCATGTCTATGTATGAATACCTAAAAAAAGAAACACTAAACAAACAAACAAAAAAAGAACGAAAGAAAGAAGAAATAAAGCCAGCCCCCCTGGGCTCAACCCAAGTTGCTTCTGTACTGCCCCACATTAGATTGTGGGGTTCGTTTGTTCTGTTGATTTGGGGGAGGGGTGCAGAGAGAATAAGCGTGTCTGACTCTTTTTGTATATACAGAAAAATGTACATACGTGTGAACCAAATTGTACAAGAAAGTATCTATTTTTGGCTAAATAAATGAGCTGTTGCCACTTTTGACTATAACCGGCGTGTCTGCCGCCTGGACCGATCTGTTTGATGGTTCTTTGGTGTTTTAGCGTCCCCCACCCCCACCCCCACCCCACCCACGGTTGTTTAAAGAATCTTCAGGAAAAGACAAGCATGGTCCAGGGACAGCAATGGCGGAAGTGGTCCGCACAGAGGTAGGAAGGGTAGGGCCTCTGCAAGAAGGGGTGATGGTAGTCCCTGGGCCCCCAGAGAAAGGGCCGAGACGGAGGAGAAAATGGGGTCGACTCCCTACTAGGGCCTGGGGAACTGGGTTCTGTCGGCGGGTCCACTGGAGTAACCTTGGAGCCTTGGGGCCTTCTCTGATGACTTAGCAGAAAGACTTAGGGAAGCTTCCAGGAGCTCAGGGCGTGGGCTGGGAGGCTCTCCCTCCCTGCTCCCATTCCGACCCCGCACAACTGGTGTTTTTCAGTCGCATGCACAGGAGCTGTCCTCGCTCAACTTCGGGGCCGCTCCCACCGCGCTTCCCTCTCCAGCACCTCCTTCTTTATAGGTGCAAGGGTGTAGGGGATCTGCCGGAGAAGCCGGGGTGCTCACGCTTCCCGCTTGGTGGCGTGTAACCGCGCTGGAGTTCGGAGTCCAAGGCCGTAGCCAGGCGGCATTTGGTCTCTAGGAGCTCTGAGCGTTTTACCCTGAGTGCCAGGGAAGGGGCTGCTTTCAGAGACGCCAGCATGGGTTCGGGGTTCAGTCCCTGACACCTTTGGAGCTGGGATTGCCGCAGGAGTCCGCGGGGGGGGGGGGGGAACAGTGGGAAACCTGGGGCTGGAGCTCCCTCTACAGGACGTAGAGGACGTGGGAGTCCGGCCTCTCCGGCCTCTGCAGCCAGGCCGACCTCCAGGCCCTAGCCCGACTTGACATTGCTGGCCCGGGCTTGCCCAACTTTGACGCTAGGAAGTGGAGAGTCACGCTTAGGATAGTGACGCCTTGGGGTTCGAAGTAGGGGCACCTTTGAGGCACCCTTGTCTGGAACATTAGATTTTCAGGCTAGCCGGACGCCATGCTTCTGAATTGCAGAGCAGGGATTGACCTTCGTGCGCGCCGTTGGGGAGTATGAAGAGCTAAAGTCTGGATCAGGTACAGTTAACTTTGTGTACCTTCCAGAGTCCGGGCGCGGGCGAGAGCAGCCGGCGTGTACGGGTCCACGATGTGAGGACCCAGCTGCCGGCGCCAGGGCGACCTGGGACTTTCCTTATGAAGGCAGGTCCCCAGAACAGAGACATGAGGAGTGAGGCAGATCACTGGCAAAGACAAGGACCGCGGGGGAAGAGGCCTGAGATATTAGTGCAAATACCTCCTCGATCTCTTCACTAAGGTATTTCAGACGCTCAAGGTCCTTCACAGGTTAGGCCATGCATCTGAAGTCAGTACCCCAAGACAAGGACCAGAGCTCTGGTTATCACCATGAGTCTCTGCACAAGGACCACACCCCTCCTCCAGCTTGGGGCTTAGCTGTGGCCCACTGGCTGCCCATTTACTTCCGGGGGAAGCTAAGAGCAGAGAACTCACTTTCCTTGGGTCCTTTCTCAGCAGCTGCCCGCCTCAGCCTCACAAGGTGAGTCAGGATGACAGGATGCTCTGCCCATGTTCATTCTTAAGTAGGAAGGTCCAGCCATTTGCAGATGCTCAGACAAACAGGAGCGGAGAGGGGGGGGGTGGTATCTGTCTCACCACCTCCCATCACCCAAAAGGGTGAGATTTCTTCCTCTGGGCGACTCAAAAGCCTCTGCAACCGGCTCCACTAAGGGACAGAGAAAAGTTCCCAAGGGAAAGGCGATCTTGGTAGCCACAGCAGAAGTCTTCTTCTAGGAGGAGGCCCCAGGGAGAGGAGTTTCATCAATGGGAGGGAGATGGGTGTGGAGAGGCTAGTCAAGGCCTGGCGGGTCTGTCAGCAGACATAGGGCCTCTCTCCAGGGAAGCTTCTGGAACTACTCAACTTTTCTAGTTATCTCATTCCCACATGATGGTGTTTTCTTAGGCCTGGTCTGTCTGTCTTGAAAGAACAGCAGAAGGAGATGCCAGGGGACTCAGAGTAACCCTGGGCATGGCTCCGCGCAGTGTGTATTCTAACTCCACTGAGCCCAAGTTGACCTCAATAGAGTAACTTAACCAAAGCAACACCCAAGCTCCTAGGTTCCCTACAAAAGAAGAAGGGGTCCCAGGAACTCCCTCCATTCCTTACTCTTGATCCCTAAAATCTAGGAGGAAACTCAGAAGAGATGGTGGCGGGGGTGAGAAGCAGGGAACATCTTGTCTCCGATGCAGCTTCAGTTAGAGATGAAATATGTCAGTCCCACACTAGGAAGTGCTCTGCTGCTCACTTGGTTACTCAGAGCCCTCCAAGGCGTGTGGGAAATCAAGTAGGTCAGAGGTACTGCTTTCCTCAACATCTGCACATAGCTAGGAGGGGACAGTGCCTCCTGGGCCAGGGAGGCTAAGGAGGACAAAATTACCCCCCTAGGTGACTGTCCACCTGCACATTAATGCTTCCTCATTAAACTGTCCTGGAGGCGGGATTCAGGTAGGGGGAAGTACAGTGCAATCCCAGGTGACATGGGAGGGCCAGGGGCTAGGACATGAAACACCACTCACTTGCTCTATACCAGGAGGGAAGAGGGGACGAGTCCCACCCACTAGGTGGTATTCTCTGGGCACTTGGAGGACAGGGAGGCCCAAAGGCTCCTCCATCCCTGGCCTGCCTGTTTAGGGGGAGTTAGCCAGAGAGAAGGATGCCTAGGTAAGAACTGTATGTTGGGTGTCTTCTGGCTTGGGTTTATTGGGAGGTTCTGCAGGGCTCCCTTTGAAACTGATTTCTTGTATTCGCCTAGAAACATCCACTTTTTTCTAGAATCCTTGGTTACACATGTCCCCGTTGAGAAAAAAAAAACAGGCAACTCCAAGTCTGTGCTTGAAGCTAACCCTCATTTGAGGAGACAAGCCTCATACTTCTTCTACCTCACTTTGAACATCTGGAAAAGGTTGGTTTTGACAGACTTAGCCAAACTTTCTTGCAAATCCATCAACAATTAAGAATGGGCCCTAAAAGCGAAGGATGGGTCTAAAGATAATTGTGGGGTAAGAAGACCCCATACACCATCAGATAGCCTTTCTTGATCTGAATTGGCCACTGTCATCTGATCCATGTAGCTCGACCATGTTAAAAATGTCTGCCACTGTGGGATTGTTCCCAACAATAAGCTCAGGACCTTTGGAAGAGGATCTTTGGAAGAGGAGGTCTCTGATGAAAAACCTCTGAAGTAGGGTGCAATAGGAAAGGCCTAAGGGATAGCAGTGTAGTCCCCAGTGAAGCCACTTTGTCTCCTCCCCCATCCTGGGATATTTGACAATGCCTGCAGAAAACCAGGGGTGGAGGATAGAGCTGGCACCAAAGGCTGGAGACCGGAATCAGTGCTCAAGGTCCTTTGGACACCCGTGGTCCTCCAACCAAGAATGAGTCCACAGCACCACCTCCAACGCTCGTCTCAGTCAAGCGGGTGAAGCCTGCTGGGTACATGGATGTGACGGAGATGCCAGGAGTGCTGAAGTTAAGAGACAATGGAGATGAGGTGACAAGGTGTCTGTGGTGCTCACAGCAATTCTCTCCTCCCAGAAGCCATAGCTCGTCGATGGAGATGTTCAGACCGAGCGCGAAGTGGACCACTTCTGTTCTTTAAAGGTTCTTGGTATTAGAAGGAAGTGGGGGTGCGAGATAGCCAGCAGGAAACTAGCCTGAGTCAAAGCAAAAGTAGGCCTTAGGTCAGTTCTGGATGGGCCCCCTTCCAGCCAAGACGGCAAAGAAGGAGTCCATCCAAGGACGGAGTCCATCCAAGGAGGACACAGGCCTAGAACACTGGGGCCTTTCTCTGGTAGATACTCATGCCTAGAGTAGGTGGTCACAGACGAAAGAAAGCCCAAGTCATACAGTG